CAGAACTGCGCATTATGCACTCAAATTACCGTTGAAAACACAATTTTCTGAAGATTATGCATGTAATGCTAAGAAAAATTCTTCAATGGGTAAAATCCTGCAAACATATAAACTAATAGTGTGGGATGAATGCACCATGGCCCACAAAAAATCCTTAGAAGCGCTTGATCGCACTTTAAAGGACATGAGAAGTAATTCTAATTTATTTGGAGGTGTATTAATTCTTTTAGCGGGTGATTTTCGCACCGGCTGATGAACTCAATGCTTGCCTGAAATCATCATATCTCTGGCAACATGTTCACACGTTAAAATTAACAACAAACATGCGTGTACAGTTGCAAAATGATGATTCAACTTCAGGTTTTGCAAAACAATTGCTGGATTTAGGAAATGGAAAAATGCCAATTGAGCCAACCACAAATTGTGTAAAGTTTCCCTCTAACTTTTGCAGGATCACACAATCAAAGGAAGAGTTAATAAATTGTGTTTTTCCAAATCTTCAACGTAATTTCAAAAATAGGCAGTGGTTATGTGAGCGTGCTTTACTGGCACCCAAAAACATTGACGTTAATTGTATCAATAATATTATTTTGAATAGAATCGATGGTAATTTAAAAACATATAAATCCATCGATACTGTTACAAATAATGATGATGTCGTCAATGTATCCCCACGAATTGAAGTTGAAAATTGGCGTTCCAATTATTTTATTGCGAAATATTGATCCACTACGTCTTTGTAATGGTACTCGATTAACAGTTAAGAAATTAATGAACAACTTAATCGAAGCAACGACTACAACTGGCCAATATAAAGAAAAGAAGAGGATGTCTTACTATTATTAATTAATAAAATACTTTAAATATCAAACGTGGCTCCGAAAAAATTTGAGGACTCTAGCTGTTATATTTTCTCATATATACTAATTTAAGATTTTCTTTATATGGGAGGTGCCACGCACACTGTAGCTATGCTGCCCATTTTGTCAACATGTGTTCATATGAATGTCAAAGTTGTTCATACAAAATTTGAGGACTCTTGCTGTTGCAATTTCTGAGATATGCGACTTTTAATACTTATTTTGTAGGTGGGCCTGGCACCTCGCCTACTTGAAATTCCAAAACAAAAGATAGTTCCTTCCGGACATAGCCGAAGACACTCTGAAAATTTCAAGGAAATCGGTTCAGCCATTTAGCTGTCTATAAAGTACAAACTTACATACATACATACACACATACATACATACATACATACATACATACATACATCCATACATACATACATACATACATACATACATACATACATACATACATACATACATACATACATACATACATACATACATACATACATACATACATACATACATACATACATACATACATACATACATACATACATACATACATACATACATACATACATACATACATACATACATACATACATACATACATACATACATACATACATACATACATACATACATACATACATACATACATACATACATACATACATACATACATACATACATACATACATACATACATACATACATACATACATACATACATACATACATACATACATACATACATACATACATACATACATACATACATACATACATACATACATACATACATACATACATACATACATACATACATACATACATACATACATACATACAAACACACATTCATTTTTATATAGATATTACTGTGAAATTTTTTCCGATCGGTCCATAATTGGTCATAGCTCCCATACAAGGTCCTCCCCCGAAAATCTCTTAAACGCAAATAACTCATTACTAAATTAATAAATCCATATAAAATTTGGTACAAGTATTGCTCTTATATACACAAATGTTACTGTTAAATTTTTTTCCAATTGGTCCATAATTGGTAATAGCTCCCATACAAGGTCCTCTCCCGAAAATCAATTAAACGCACATTACTCATTACCAAATAGTGAGATCCATAAAAAATTTGGCATAAATACTATTTTTGTGTACAGAAATGTTATTTAAAATTTTTTTTTTTCACAATCGGCCCATATTTGTTCATAGCTCCCATACAAGGTCCTCTCCCGAAAATCACTTAAACGCGCATAACTCATTACCAAATAGTGATATCCATAAAAATTTGGCATAAAAACTAGTTGCATTATCAATTTGTGTAGAACAATATTATATATATTATTCACACACTGCATACATGCAATTTATTAAATATCGCTAAAGCATATCTTAGGGCGCTATAAAAATATAGGAGTTTGTAATGTTCAATAAATCTTGCAATTGTAACAGATTTCAACTGTTTAAATCTTGCGGTTTTTCTATTTAGGACATGAGAAAACTTATTTCTACAAATATTTGATCAATTAAAACAATATTAATATAAAAGTAGCTGGTGGAGGGTATTTAAATATACAATAATAGAAAACATTTAAAAAATTATGAATTTAAAAAAGCAATTATGTTGTTTTCTCACTGAATCAGCTTTGGCGTAGTTCGCTTTAAAAAATTTCAACGATAAGGGAACGAAATGATGTGATGGACGACGAGGTAAATTAAATGAAATATTTTGGATTAGAAAACGCAGCTTACATTTCCATTGATTATGTTGAAAATAAATGATATATTTAACATTGATCTTCGGCTCTTAAGGGTTGGAAGTTTTATCAATTCCAGCCTAGCAGAACATCAGGGCAGATTTATTGGCTTGAAGTTTAATCCACGAAGACAAAAGAGCAGGAACTGCTTTTGTACAGATTCAATAACGTCTGAATATTATTTATTTATAGGGTCCCATATTACAGATCCGTATTCTAGGATAGGCCTTACAAGGGATGTGTAAAGAGATTTAGTGGCATACGGATCATTGAACTCCTTAGCCCACCGTTTTATAAATCCTGGTTGTATTTGCTAACATTGTTATGTGTGATATAAAATTTAACTTGGAGTCCAGTAAAATACCCAGATCTAAAAAAAAATCCACTTTAGAGTACATTCGGAAAACCCCAATAGACAAAGTTTCTTTCTCAAAAGCAAATGGTTGACATTATCAAAGGCTTTGCTGATTTAAATAATGGGACAATACTTTTATTATCCTTCCAAATGCTGGGCAAACAAATACGTAAGAGGAATAGCAATATTGTCAGCACAGTTAATTAAAATACTGCTAGAGATTTTATCAGGACCAAAATTATGCGAAAATTTTAGTTTCCTTAATTCTTTAATTAAATTAGAAACATCGTTCAATTGTATATACAGAATCATTATAGGTTGAATCATCATAAGGTGTTGAGAAAAAATATGTTGCTTATAACTGTATCATCACTAGATTCATTTTGTTGAAACTCCTTAGATGAGCGGAAGCCAGTTGACTGTTTTTTGGAATTGACAAATTGGAAAAACGATTTAGGATTACTTTTAAAATTATATTTCACTTTGTTTATATAATTATTGTAACATGATTTATTGAGCAGAGTGTATTCAGCTCGACAAACGGAGTACTTGAGGTAATAATGATGAGAACCAGTTTGTTTAAATTTTTTATAGAATTTGTTCTTCCTATTTTTTGCTTGAACCAGCTGTTTATTATTCCATGGTGGGCCAGATATCTTTGTAGAAATTAGTTTTGGAACACATAAATCCAAGAATGAATTTAATTTATTGTAAAAGACTTCAGTCAGTTGCTCAACATCTTATAGTACGTAAATATATTGTACCAGTTTGTTCCAATAAGGAGTTCATTCAACATGTTGTAATGCTATTAAATGCTTTTAAGAAAATGTTAACGATTGTTAAACCCGAAATAAGAAGAAATACCTGAAATGTTGTGAACTAGTTTGACTTTACCCGAAATTGCGTAATTCTGCGCGTTTTTAGTAACTACATTTTTTCTAGGGTGCTACCTTATAAGCATTTTTAAATTTGATTAAAGGACTACGCAAAGGATGATTTCCTTATCAGACATGTGTTTTTGTCATTCTGTTATCCATAGGGTTTGCAAGGAATTACTGTATTTAAAGGTCCGAGTTTTCGTAATTTCACAGCAAGAAAATGGAAAATTGCAGTAGGAAAGAAAAAATATATTTATTAAAACTGATTTATTATTTCGAGCAGTAGCAAACGCTGCTTTGAAGCAAAAACCCTCACGCTGGAAATTAGTTCTAAACAACTTTCGCGAGATCGACAAGTCCTTCCAAAAACCAAAAGTTGTGGTATATAAGTCATCTTAATTGTATACAATTGGTTAATAACCACCAATTTTCGCTTAAATTTGTTCTAATATAGCTATTTATGCCTATGCTCCATATTAGACTTTAAAGCAGAGACTGAAAATAACTGGGACACATAACCAAAGTGATTGAATTGTGATTTATTTTTGTTTTTTAAAATAAATCACTCAGAATAACAGTTATAAAATGATTTTTACTTAAATGGTTTAGTATAACCTTTACAACTATTGTTTTGTTTTGTTACTTATGTTTTTGGCTGAGAACTTGGTTTTTGTATTCCTTTTTTCTCTTGCTTATATGAGAGTGGAAGAGTATATTGTTGTTGTCTGCTATGTGTGTATGTGTGTCCTAATCGTGTATTTACATTTGCGATTTATTGTTTTGCTTTTAAAAATAAAAATCATAAACAGACCTTTTCAAAAATGTTTACAAAATAAAAATCAATTGTAGCGAGTTATTTTGTTTTTCTTTTCGGTTTCTCTCAACCATTTATCAAAAAAATCGAACATAAAGGTTTCTCTCAGTGATAAACTGCAAAAACACTATTATAAATGGTGATCACAGCAATTAACCTTATGAAAACAAAGTGGACCCGTTATTTTCAGTCTCTGATTTGAAGAGTTTCATTATTTTGTCGATCTTAATTTCTCACTGAAAAAGTTATGATTTAAACCCATATTTTATTGAAAACCCCCAAAAAGCAATTTTGTTTATATTTTTCAAACCCCAATATTTTAGAGAAATATTTCAAGCGAAGCAACATCAATTCGATATTTTATTTAATTAAAAGATTCAGAGATTACATAAACAATCAATTATTCAACATTTTCATTATTCGAAGACAGCGACAATATTTTCTTTAAGTTTTGTTTTCGTTTCTCGCGTTCGTTTTGTTTATTAGTCATACTCGTAATTTCTTCCTCTAAATCATGTAGACGTGCCTTTGTTGCATTTACTCTACGTGATGCTTCGTAATCATCTTCAGCTTTTTCCTTTATAGAAACATTATCGTAAACATATTTGGAACGAACGGACACACTCGAAACAGCCTGAAATAAAGTAGATAAAATCGGTTAATAATAAGTTTTATTAATTTAATAATATTATCTAGATTACACTTTTATCATGGTACCCGAGGTGACCAACCGTCGATCGGTTAATCAATTTCGAATAACGGATAAACCGAACAATTTGTATTAATTAACCGATTAATAAAAACTTACTATTTAACGGTAAAAATTATGTATATATAAAATTCAATACATATCTTTATAATTAATTTTCTACCTTTATTTAGTACTTTATTTTTTTGAATAATGAAGAAAATTCATTTGATTATATTTATATCAATTCTTCTGAAACATTTTAAAAATTTGTTCTGATTTACCTATTTTTAGAATTACCTATCACATAATTTACCAATTCGTACAGAAACACTTCAGCTTCATGAACAGCAATCTTAGAAATAATGATATCGTCTTTATTTCTAAACAGAGGAAAAAATATATACATGCCTGGTACCAAATTGATACAAATTGTTTTAATAATATCCATTGTCAAGTATATACATACATACAACAACAACATGTAATGTAGACCACGCAACTTTGTCAACATTGCAACAATTAGTTGCCGCAATCTAAACTTTATGCACATCCGTTGTCTAAATGTTAACAAACGAGTTAAGCTCACTATTGGCAACGCATTTAGAGCTTACCACGTTTGTTAACTTAATTTGGTATCAGGCATGTATATTTATTTTCCCTCTGTGTACAACCAGTTTTGAGGAATACTTTTGTGTTTCTTAAGTATTTCTAACGCACAACAGGCCCGATAGAGGCTTAGGTGTATTTCTTCGGATTTGATGTATGTATATATTTACATCCTCCTTTCAAACAAGAAAAATATTATAAAAGAGCAATAAAACTTATAAAAAACATCCAGTTCCCTTTCATTTGATTAACCGAATAATTTTGAATTACCTGATTATTAACCGGTTAACATAAAACCTCAAATAATTAATTGTCGAATAAACCGAATAATACAAAAACCCGAATAATTGGATACCCTAGTCAGGGGTCCGCAAAGTAGGATACCTCGTGTGTATCAAATTTTTAAAGCGATTCTATTTCCCCGTTCGTGTTCCGATATAAAAAAATTCCTACATATGTATGTAGAATCTCCTAATCGAGAACTATAACAAATCTCATAGCTTAAAAGATATTCGCATTAAACTAACCTACTCCCAGATTTTCTATTTTTTTATTGGACTACAACAACTACTTAAAAATCATGGCTGAAACCAAAGTTATAAAATCATTTCAATTTAAAAAATTCCAAAACGACCATTTTTTGCTACGTTTTTAGGAAACAAAAAATTTTTTTCTTTTAAAGTTATCTTAAATATTTCTAATAGCCCGTTTACACTGCAACAAAATCTAGTACTTATGAGATTTCGAGACAAATCTAGTTGATTTTAACTAGATTTCCCATACAAAACCAAATCAACTTCGTAACTAGATTTCGTTAAAATCTACTCAAAATCTAATAGTTTTTTAAACAATACTAAAAAATACGACGCTGCTCAAGAAACAAACAAAAAAATAAAATAAAGTGAAAAACGTGAATAAAAAGTTAATTTAAAATAAAAGATAATGTTATATTTAAATATCTATTTTTTATTATAAATAAAATTTTAATAAATTTTCTTCTTATTTTTCATATCAAACAAAATTTCAAGAAATATTAGAAAAAATTAAATCTTCTTATATGTCAAAAATAGTAAGTGTAAACGGTATAGATTTGTAAAACTATTTCAAATTAAATCTACGAGATTTCGTGTATGTGTAAACGAAACTTAGTTAGGTTTATTAAACAATTTTAGTCAAAATTCACGATAAACGTATTCAAATAGCAAACAATAAGATGATTTTTAACAACTTTTTTTCTCAGAAAAAGCTTTTTCGGTAATTTTAGGTTTATAGCGAAAACTAATTATAGTTTCTTTTAAATTAAAATCTAAAAATTCTAATTTTAACGTTTACAAATTTGTAAATAAAATCCCAGAAAATTTTTAAACGATTATATTTTGGGAAAAAACTCAAATATAGGCATTATTGGATTAAAGCATGAATATGCTTTGAATATGTATTTGACTATATGACCAGCACTATTTTTAGACAATTTGGAAATGTCCGTCTGTCAACCAAATGATGGACAAAATCATTTTGCCTTTTTAAAAGTTTGGTGGTTAAATCCCAGGAAAAACTTCGCTTACTATGGCTACTATGAACTACTTTTTTACTGACTCACCCACGTATTCATAAAGATATTAATCGCTTATTTTAGGTTTATTACGCACATTTACTATACAAAATTCCAAAAATAAACCATCAACAACTTTATTAAGCATTTATGAATATGGGGATTACTTTGTAGTTAAAATCCAAAAAAAAACATACAAACAAAGCAATAAAACAGAAAAGAAAATAGCATTTGTATATAAAAACCATAGATTAAAATTACTAATATATTATTAACCAAAATGCACATTTTCTCATATGCATACGTATGCAATATTAAAATGTAAACATATTTTATCTAAATAATGTATTTAATTGCTTCCATTTAAAATATTTGTAGTATTTTTGCGAAAAATATTTTCCCATACAAGCTATTGCATATTGCAGCTTACATACAAATATAAAATTTTTTCATACGCAATATATTTCACAGCAACTCGCTAACATATTTAAAATGCCTACATACATATATTTTATATTGCTTGCCTGTAATATCAAAATATTTTCCTACACAAATTATTCAAAGTCAAAAATATTTAAGCCATGCAGGCAAAAATGTACGAACTTGAAATGTGCACAAGCAGAGCATATATGTGACGACGAAAATACTAAATAAAACGATAGTCGCTGCTATGACGTTGTAATATTTTTACTACAAAATATAAATATAATTTAATATAATTAGAAAAATTTATTTAATTAGAAAATATGTATGTACATGAAATGACAATTTCATTTGTGAGTAGGTATTAATTATTTTTTGTGGATATTAAATGTAAAATTTGTATTTATTCGTGTTGATTGTATCAAGATAACAAAAAAATGTGTTAGTTGCATTAAAAAGTGTATGTTTAGAAAAAACGATCTAGATTTTTACAGGAAATATGTATGCACATACATATGTATATGTAAAATGTAAAGGTGGTATTAGACGACATGTATTTTACATATGTACTGTCAAAATTTCCATCTGTAAAAGTTGTACATATGAAACATTGCATATGTAAAATACATGTGGAAATACATATGTAATTTTTTCGATTAGAGCGTGCTCTATTTTCGTTTAATAAACAAAACAGCTGTTTTGCTTTGAAATAAAATTTTTTGAAAAAAGTAAATTAAAGAAAATGAATAAAGAACATTAAAAAGTAAGTATTTTTTAATTTTTAATAAACTAATTTATAATTTTAACAATTTTTACACATTAAAAAGACAGCTGTGATTACATTTATAGGTTATGTCATACGGAAAAACACAGACAGGTGTGATAGCATATGGATAAAAAAAAGTGACAGTAAATATGTAAAATACATGTCGTCTAATATCACCTTAAGTTGTAAAAAAATCCATTCAAAAATGCAGAAAATTGTTATTTATAATTTTATACGTATTGTTTGTAACAGGATAATAAAGCCCCCTTCACACGAGCACACAAGTAATATGATCTGTCAAAATTTTGTGTAGAAGAGAACGGATGGGATCGTCTAAAATCATCACACATTGAGTGAGAATACGGATGGGAAATTTGACAGTCGTATGGTTCTCTTCATTTTTTGAAAGGTTTAAAAAAACAAGCAAGTCGCATTTGATCAGGGATGTATTTTAATGTAAACACATACAAAAAAAGTGAAACAGCTGTCTCATCTTACTTTGTTATTGTTTTATACCAATCGTGTAAACATAAAAAATATAAATCATACGACTTTAATTCTCTTTTTGCCATACGGATGGAATTTCATTTTACTTTTTCATTACACTTGTCGTACGTAAAGTGTGATCGTCTGAAGGGCCCTTAAGACATATAAAGCAAGAAACGTCGTAGTGTCTATGAAATGACTATTGTAGGATAAAATAATGAAGGAAGTTATAGGTATCTTAGAAATTTGTAACAGGAGAGCAAATAAAAGATAAGATGCGGAGAGGGGACATGAAATCATAAAATTTTGTTTTTGTAGTTTTACATTGTGAAAGGTTAAAATAACAAAAATGTATGATTGTATGTATGTATATTTTTTTAAATACATAGACATGTATGTACATGTGAATTTTTCATACATACATAAATATGTATATACATATGTGTGACATTTCCCAGTTGGCCAGATCGTTATTGACGACGTCTGCATCGATGATGTCTGCAGGAATTTTCCAAATTTGTCCTGTATAAAATGCAATTTAAGACAACTTTAATAACAAAGTCCTCCAATTTGCCGTGTTTTGAGCTTAATAGTAGACAGCATAATGACAATTTTTTTTTATTTGTCGTGAATAAGATATTATTGAGGACAGTATGATCGACAATCGCATGAAAATTGTCGTGTTTGAGGTTACATTTACGACAAGATGAGCGACAATGTCTTGAACTTGTCTTTATTTAACCATCTTTAAAGAAAAACTTATCGACAACTTCATGTGTGTTGTCATGTTTCAAACTATATTGACGACGAAATGAGCGACAGTGTCATTAAGTTTTTGATTCAAAGAATATTTATTGAGGACAACAAAGACAACATTTGTAAAAATTTGTCGTGTTTCTATCAGTGTGACCATTTTGGAATTTTTGCAGCTAGATTTAGCATTTTTTATTTTGATTTAGCTGTAAAATTTTAATTTAGCATTTGGCATTTTATTTAGCATTTTTATAAAATATTTTTAGCTTTTTTTGCAATTTTAGTATATAAACAAAAAAAGACAAATTTTTGCAAAAAAGATTTATTTATATTGGAAATAGGTTTAACCGGAAAAAA